ATGACCCAGCAATTCCAATCCTAGGGATCTATTCAAAGGACACAAAAACATTGATTCAAAAGGATATCTCCACCCTTATGTTTACTGCAACACTATTTACAATAGCAAATATCTGGAAACACCCAAATGCCCCCCAAAAATAGATGACTGGATCCAGATGATGTGGTATATACACACAATGGAAAAAGAAAAACTCATGCCATTGGCAGCAACATGGATGGAGCTAGAAGGGATCATGCTCAGTGAAATAAGTCAGAAGCAAAAAGAAAAATATGGAATGATTTCACTTATAGAAGAATATATGTTGGTGCCGAGTTAGCACATTACCCCCGGGGGCTCCGGGGGATGTGCCCCCTGTTGTGCGTGTCAAGGCGGCCAGGTGATCGGGCCGATAAAGCCATCACAGACTTGTGTTTATCTGCCTAAGACGCCACAGGGACGACCTGACCTTTCTCTGCCCTAGCACACTCCCTTGTAAGGGAGTGTCAGCATCTGGCAGCTGCAGGCGGTGTGGCAAGAGAAAATCCCTACTTCCTCCTTTCCCGCCTTAATCTTCCACTCCTACTGCCTAATGGTATATAAAGGGATCGCTGGAAATAAACGAGAGACTCCTGGATGAAGAACCTCGGAGTCCTGTGTTTTCTTTAACCTCATCGTCCCTCGCCGGACTCGGCTCCGATCAGCCGGTCGCGGCAAATATAGGGTAGCCAAATAAGACAGGGGGAAAAGAACAATAGAAAACAAAACAGACAGACAATTATAAACCAGAGATATGCTGCAGGGGTGGGGGAAGGGATACTTCAGAAAGAAGGGAGGAGCACAGGGGACTGTGGTGATGGTACATGGGCGAATTGGGGGAGGAAATTCTATGGGATCTAAACCTGGGTGGTAAGCATTGTTTTAAAATGAACAACAGTTTGTGTGTGTATATGTATACAATTTAAAAAATATAAAATTTTAATAACCTGCTTTAAAAAAATATTTTCATACATCATTGTTAATTTTTGTACAGTATTTGATTTCTCCCTTGTAGTTTTCCCACCACCATTGTAACCCTAACCCATCACCATTGTCCCTTGCACTCTTCCCTCCCTTGTTTTGACCCCACTCCAACCATCTATCTTGCCTTATTACTCGGGTCTATTTAATGACCTGCTCTTAATAGAAATTCTCGGTAAAGATTTCTCTACCTTTAAAGTAATCTGCTTAGGAAACAAAGACGTTTCTTTGTAAACACATTCCTGTGCTTTCTTTGCCTTTTATCACTATTTTCAAATACTTAAAACAGGAGTCTTTTTAATATTCCAGCTATGAACATCTGAAATTTACATATACTTACAATACAATGTCACTTCAATAGAAATAAAAGTGGGAAGTAACTTCCTGGATTTGTCTTTGAAATCTTTTACTTTAGTTGAATGGATAACTATTGTTTCATAGTGACCTATGATCCTGTTTGATGAAGTGTTTTAAACCTTTGACATAAAAATTTCCCCCAAATCAAATTCTGGATGAAGCAAAAAGAGAAGTGTTAGGTTATTAGATATGTTAAATAACATTACCTTGTCAAGTAGAAAGTGATGCCAAGCCTATTCTGTCAAGAAAATGGCAAAATGACCAGCAGTGTTCCCTCCCTCCCAGTTTTTGGGGAGATGTGGCTTTCATCTGGCCTGCCCTGTTGTCAACATTGGTACAAGGCAGACATAAAACTGGCTGGTGTAGCTGAAAGTCCAAGATCCAGATCCAGGACAGCGTGTAGGCAGCTGCATCTGGAGAGGTGAAACGCTCCAATGAGAGTTGAACACATGTGCTGACTCAGGGCTCTGAACAACTCCTCTAGAATTCTAGAAAATTAATGTGATTTGCCCACATTTCACAGCATGGTTTTCATTGTTGAATAGCTGGATATACCTTCTTCCTGAGCTCAGGAAGTTGTTTTTATGTAAAAACTATTTTCTAGCTCCATTCATCATAATATCTGATTGCATAATCTTGCAAAGCTAGCTGTCCTAGCCTCAAGTCTACAATAAAAGCAAGGAGGAAACAATAGATTTCTGGGGTTGTCAAGTCAGGTTCCTCCCAAGAGATGAAGGGGCTTCCAGCCTCCAGGGAGCTCTGCAATGTTGTCTGCACCCAAAACTGCAATGGTCAGCTGGCTACTTGTGCACCATCTAAAAGGCTTCTCCCACGAAGAGGTGCATTGGCGAGGTCCACGCTACCTATGTTGTATGAGAAGATCCTGACATGGGAGAAAAAATCCTGTAAAGTCAGGATATTCCACAGCTGGTTCCTGCTGGATTCTTTTCAGTTGTTTATGGCCATTTATAAGAAGTATGATTTGTTTTTGGCTGTTCCCAAGAAGCATAGCAATTGTCCAAATATGCATTCAATATAAAATTAGTAGTTATTTTATTGGATTGATTGGTTCAATAACAATAGCATTGTACACAGAATGGCACAGTAAGTTATAAAATAATATTCCTCTGCTTGAGAGGGCTGGCACAAATCTAGGTCCCACGATAATGAGAGACAGTCACGATCTAAGAATTCTGGGAACAAAGGCTCCAATAATTTCCTGCCAGTCCCCAATAAAAGATCTATTATCTATATCTATCTATCTATAATATGTATACATACATACATATAATAGTTTATTTTTACATCATTTTGTGCATTTTTCTATCTCAGTTGCAATACCCTTGGGCTTCCCATCACCAAATCACCCATGTGCCATCACCATGGTCCAGTGCATTTCCCTCCCTCCACTGTTTTTCCCTCCCCCCACTCCACCCCCACAAAATATCTCTGGTATATAGCTGTTCATCATTATCATTATTTTCTCGCCTGTTCAGTTATATTCCTGCTATGAGAGAAACCATCCAGTATTTTTCCTTTTCTTTCTGGCTTATTTCACTAAGCATGAAAAAGATCTATAGTTTTAAGTAACATAGTTTCCTTTTAAGTAATAGTTATAAATAAGTTTTCCCACTCTTTCCTTTAACTTTCACCCCCACCTCTTTTCACATAGGAAGGTTTTTTAGATAAGATTAATAGGATAATAATCAGTGACCATAAAGAAAGAAACTTTCCCTGAATTCTTATTTAGATATAGAGACTAGGTTGACAAAACAATTACAGAAATAGTGATTAATAGCTCTTTTTGTAGATCAAAAAAGGGATTTTCCCCCAAGTGCAGGGAAATGCCAATGCACAATGCACTCACGTTTTTTTTTTTTCCTGACTCCTAGTTCCTTAACATTAGATCCTGTAACTTTAAGATGTATGCTCATTGATAAATTAACAAAATAATTGCTTAAGTTGTAATAGTTAACTGATTACCATAGAAACTTTTGTTTATTGATAACTCATCACCATAGGAATATTTTGTTTGATAACTGATCACCACAGGAATATTTTGTTTGATGACTGATCACCGTAGGCATATTTAATGATTGCTCACTATTGGAACATTTTGTGTATGAATATCACAGTATCAAGAGATCAAAAAGCCCGGAGCTGTCTTTAAGAAAAATGTGATGATTGTTATCTTTCTGCTTTATGCACACACTGATGTAATCCCACCGCTTTCTTGTAATGTATAAAGACCTGCTGGGACAATCCACAGAAGATGCTTTCACCTTAAACAGGTGTCTGCATCTCCTCATTTTTCTACTTCATCTTTTCTCCTTCTCTTTCTCTCTTCCCTTCGCTGATGCCGTCCTTTCCTGCAGGAGACCCTCATTACCTCAGCTGAAGCTGGTCTTCAGCAGTGCATTCTTTTTGTCCAAGTGTGAAGCCATGGGAAATCCCAGCAGGAAGGGTTATCTGTGTCTTCTTCCTCCATAAAGCTCTGGATCCACTTGTTCCCCTTATCTCTCACATCGAAGTCCTTACTGCCATCTAAGATACAGTGAGCTCTTCATCCAAGTGATGTTGGCCCTCATAAAACATCTTAATGCTTTCTTCATAATTTGGTAGTTTGTCCTTGTTTATGGTTATTTTGTCCATCGAGGAGTAGTTTCTCTTTTTGAATCTTTTCTAATTCTGGATTGTTCTCATGTTTGTCAGAATCCAGCTTCAGGACTCCCCCTGAGATGTCTTGACCCATTTTCTGCTGTACTTGGTGATAAATTTACACGGAGACAATTGTCTCTCATGGCCATCTCTCAACTCCTGCTCTTTCTTCACTCCACCCCAAGAAAACTTCAGGTCTCTCTACTGTTATTAATACAAGTAATCCAGAAATGTCGTAAAATTCCTAATAATCTGATATGTGTTATGAGGTTATCAGTTGTAATTCGTTTTCTTTTAAAATACATGTCACAAAAATAAGCAAATATAATGAACTTTAGTCATTCCTGTTTTTAAGTCAGTCAGAACACAAACAAAGCCCATTCCCCAGGAAGACCTCGGTAGTGAGAGCACGCTATGTTCGCGTTTCCAGTACCCAGAGTGACACCCACCACAGCGAGGAACACCAGCCGCCCAGCTTTCTGCAAAAGACCACTGAGAGAATGCAAGGACGCTGCGGGGTTCTGATTAAACCCAATTCAGCCAAACCACCAGAATCAAGACCTGCATCACGAAGACCTGAAAGATGAGCCACCATCGCCTCGGTTCCGGGCTAGCTCCCCTTCACCGCGGGACCCAGCGCCCGGGGCTCGGATTCACTAGCCAGGGGATGTGAGGAGGAAGGAGAAAAGAAATTTAGTAATAAGATACTGACCAACTTTCTAGTTGGCTCTTGCGCAGCACCCTTTGCGTGAACCACGCCCTGGGTGCGGGTGCCCGTAACGGAAGCTCCCTGCTCAAGCCAGAGGCCCTGGCCTTGGGTGCCAGCTCTGCTGGGTGGCGCAGAAGGCAGTCTCTTGAGACCCTAGGGGTCGCTGGGCCCCGGCACACCATGACCACCCCACACCTTTTCCCTCTGTCTCCTCCCAGGCGCCCAGAAACCACACGGGAGACAGAGTTGCAGGCGACAGAGGCTGGCATGATGCGCGCTAGGTGGGCAGCAGCCCGTGCGTTCGCAGCTCCAGTAGCGGGGACAAAGTATAGCGCAGGCGGCGGATGGAGGCCTCCAAACTGAGAGGCGGGAGTCCCCGGTGGAAGACGTCTGAGTTCACCAACACCAGGTAGAGCAGCGGCAGCGCTAGAATGCCCAGCGTGAGCAGCAGGAGCGTCTGCAGCGCTCCCAGCGCCCAGAGCCTAAGGACCGACCGACCGACCGATAGTTGAGCGGTGGCTGGGTAGGACAAAGGGACCGAGCCCAGCGCGCCCACCGCCAGCCAGCTGGATCACCTGATGCCCGCTGTACCCGAGCCGCGGAACAACCGCTTCTCCTGTGGGGAGAGGGAGCTTCAGCTCCGCGCCAAGGGGCGAAGGGAGGGATCCAGGGCGCCTCAGAGGGCCAGTTCTCTAGGTTTCGGGTCCGCGTAGGGGCAAATAAGTGCGGGTATCTCGTCGCGGGGCGGGCCCCAGTGAAGATGCGGATCCCGGTGGCTGTGGGTTTGTGTGTTCCGCTGGGTGTGGTGGGGGTGGGGGTGGGTCCTAACTCCAGCTCGCCGGGGTCCACGCTCACACAGTCTGCCTTGGCCACCTCCTCCATAAGCGATCCCGCACAGTCCGGCACACTGCGAGGCTGTGAGTCGCATCTGAGAGGACAGGCACGGAGGTGAGCGATCTACACAGGCACACAGCTGTCCCGCCACATCCTACTGCTCTAAGTCCCTTACGGTTCCGGGCTGCCCCTCGAGGCATCCAGCGCAGCTGCTGCCTCCATCACCTTCCCTTGTAGCTCCTGGAGGGGATGGGAGTGAACCCTCAGAACTTGGTGGCAGGAAGGCTCTAGGAGGGGGAAGGGTGGAGGCCCCAGTAGAATCGTAGGTGACTCTCAGGGTTGGGGGGTGGGGTGCGGCACCTGCAGGACTCCGCTCTGTTCCTGGAAGCTGGCCCAGGCCTCTTCCGTCCGCTGCGCACCCTGGGTGCGGGAACCGGGATTAGACCAGTGGGCCACACCCCTCTCCAAACTCCTGCGCTGCCCAGGCTTCACTCACACCCAAAGCCAATCCCCCACCTTCAAGTCGCGGTTCCACCCGCACCTGCCGAAGGCTTTCCGCCTGCATGGTGTGCTTGGCCTCCACAAGTTCCAGTTGTTTCTTTCGGAAGATCCAAGGAAAGTCAGCAACCGGTGCGTCCTGCAACCTGTCGCGCCTCAGAGCCGGGTGCCGCTGCGGCGCCAAATCCACCAGATCCGCCCGCCCCTGGCCCAAAGGGCCCAGTCTTCAGATCATCAGGACCCGGCTCTGGATGCCCCTACGCCGCCCATGCACCTGTAACTCCACTAGTTGGGTCCCGAGTTGCTGCTCCTCGCGCTGCTGACTCTGCTGCTCCCCTCCGTAGTAGAAGAGCTGAGGGTGGGGCTTGTGAGGGCGGGTCTCAGACAAGGAGCGGGGGCCCTGGGGAGTGGAGGTGGGGCGGGAACGGGAGCGGGAGGTGGTGTCCTGGGGGGTGGGCACGGTGAGAAAACCGCGGCGGAAACCAGAGCTGGAGTCTGGAGGGTAAGCAAGAGACAAAACAAGTACCTGACTGGATAGCTCCTCCCACTGCTCCTGCAGGTGCCGGTTGTGTTGCTCCTGAGGACACGATCCAGGGGGTGGTCCCGGCCTCTCCAAATCCCTGCCCCGCCGTCCCCGCCCCACGCAGGCCCCCACCTCCCCACCAGGTCCTGCAGGTGGCGTTCCGCGGTTTCCTGCAGTAGCCGTGCCCGCTCCGCACGGTCCCGCGCCGCCTCGCGCGCCTCCACTCTCAGAGATCCGGTCGCCTGGCTTTGCCTCCGCTGCAGGCTGCAGAGGCGAAACTGAGACAGTGACACTTCGGGAAGCAGTGGCTGCTTCCTCTGGGCCTTGGGGCAAGGACCAGCTCAGGGTTCGGGATGGGGCTGAGGAAGCCCACGCGTGCTGGACTCTTTTTTCCCCTTCATGGAGTCCCTGAGTGGGTCACCCGGGTTCCGGTGACCGACGGCGGGAGGTGTGGACCGGAGCGAGGAAAATAACTGACGGGTGGGCCAGACGCTCTGCTGAGCCTGGAGTGTAGCCGCCCGAGGACTTTCCTGTGGCCTCCTAACCGGGTTGAACCGCTCACCTGCGCTCGCGCTCGCGCAGATCTTGCAGGCGCCTGGTGAGGCTCTCGCTCTCCGCCTCAAGCCCACGCACCAGCTCCTCCAGCTCCTGCTTCCGCAGGCGTCCGTCCCGGTTGTCCTTCTGCAGCTGCAGCAGCAGCTCCTGCATCTCTGCCATGGCTTCTGGGGCTCTGCCCCGCCGTCACCCTCCTCGAGGCCCCGACCCGAGACAATCGTCACAATGGGCCACAGGGGGCGTCGGAGTGTAAGGCTGGCGCGGGGTAAAACGCGAGTCAGGCAGATCGCACTTGTTCTGTCATTTTATAAATTAATAGGTCAGTAAACGGTTAGTAAAACACTAACACCGAATTGAGAAAAAGTAAGGCAAGTTTGCTTCCCTCATATTGCAGATGACACTTGCACCTCTCATTTGTGTGAAGAACTTGGAAATATATACCATATCCATAATTACGTTCATTTCTTTTGACCCAATTATCCCACTCCTGGGAATTTATCAAAGGAATAAAAGATGTTTTAAACGACTGTGGATTAAGTGGTTCAATGAAATGCTTTCAACAATTTCAATTATTTAAATGACATTTAAATCTTATGTGGTAAGCAGAAATATGTGTAGTGAAAACAGTAGAATGATTTAGCATTGATGTTTTATGATGTTTTATTTATGATTTAGCATTGATGGCATACTGATGCTTATAAGCTATATAGGCCAGATCTTTAAAGAAAATAGAAAAGCTATTTCATTGTTTTGTGGGAGTGTAGGCAAACTTAGCCATTTAAATCTGCTTTTATATTTGGCCAATTTCAATTGTGAACTTGAATGCAAAACTTCTCAATAAATGATAAGCCAAGTGCAAGGTGGCATGTTAAAAATGTCCATGGAAAACAAGCAGTTTATTACAGGGATTGTTCAAGATCAGAATACTGATGATTCATCACATGGAACTAAGAGGAAGAGTACTACTATCTTAATGGTGCAGTTCAATAAATGCAGAAAATTTTTATAGAATTCAATATCTACTGATATTTTTAAAAGCTCTTTTGAATGATCTAGAAAGAGACACTCTAACCTGATGAAAGTCACTAGTAAAAATGTAGACATATATAGTAAGGAGGAAGCCACTTACAATTTTTTTTCAACAAATACAGTTGTCCCTCTATCTGCATTTACCAGTTCCACCAACTATGGGTGTTGGTTGCTTGAGGCTTCGGGGGAGGGGGGGGAGGCATTTTCCTGCAGATACTGAAAGCTGGCTATGAGGGGTTTGAGTATTCCAGATTTTGGAATCTACAGGGCTCCTGAAATCAATCCCCTGCAAATACAAAATTTTGGGGAGTTATAAATTATATGTGAGTTTTTGACTACTGATGGTTTGGTTTTCCTAACCCCAGCACTGTTCAAGGGTCAAATGTTTTAACAGTGTTGGATCCTTTGCCTGGACAGACCTCCCCACCTCCCCCACAGAATCATATGCACACTGTTGTGTGGAAACAAAGAATGAGCCATGGGTGCTGGAACAGAAAAACAGGAGGCAGGAAGTGTTCCTGCCTTGTGTTTGCTACCTTGTGTTCTTTGACCCCCATGTTATTGTTGCATGTTATTGATGCACTTGCTGAAAGCTTCCGCCTAACCCCCAGCCCCAGGCTCCATGCTGAAGGGTATAAATAAGGAAGGAGAGAAAAATAAGGTGTGCCTTTGCTTGCTGACCAAGGAGTGTGTGCTTTAATCCTGACGTCCTTCGCTCAGACCATCTCTGCTGTCGTGCTGGCGCAGCAAACAGTATTCCTTTAAGAATTTAAGAGATGAGAATCATGATCCTCCCACTAAGGTCTGATTAGTACTGGAGGGTCTGCAATGTAGCAAGAAAAAGAAATAGAAAAATATGAAGAGTATACAGCAATGATAGTTTCTTATCCTAAACTACTACTTTTCATTCCATCTTGCCCCTTAGATTACTCCTTTCCAAAGGTCTTATTTCTGAGTCACCAAGCCCACTACTTCCTAGCCCCAGGAACTGACCTAAGCCAATTGTGGTTTAGATTTTGCCCGTGAAACTCAAGGGGAATTTGGCTGGGGGTTTCTGGGAGGGTTGCTTTCCTGTAAAAAAAAAAAAAAAAAAAGACACATGGAAGGATATTCCCTTTGATGCCTGCTGATATCACATGTGATGACAGGCACTGCTTCACCCCAGGTGAGGAAGGCAGGCAAGGTGCAGGAGTGGATTTGTATTTCACATGCCTATGGTTCTACCCACAGCATCTGCGGCACTGGGAAAAGAACTTTCACCTTACAGTAAAGAAATTGATGAAGATGTGTGCTTCACCTTCTGAAACCACATCTTTTTTTTTCTTTTTAAATAATATAATAGTTTATTTTTACATCGTTTTGTGCCTTTTCCCATCTCAGTTGGACTTCCCATCACCAGATCATCCGTGTGCCATCACCATAGTCCAATGCACTTCACTCTCCCCACTATTTTTGATCCCATTCCCCACTCCACCACTGTAAAATGTCTCTGGTATATAATCCAGTCATCCACTTTTGGCATTTGGGCTGCTTCCATGTCTTTCCAATTGTGAATAAAGCAGCATTAACATGGGGATGCAGGTGTTTTTTTGAATCAGTGTCTTTGTGTCTTTTGGGTAGATACT